ATATATATATAAAATAAATCTTTTACAAAACCTTGCAATGCAATTTCAATTTAGCGAAAGAAAAAAACAAAAAAAAAAATAAACCAGCATTTTTTTTTTAAATTAAATTATTTTTATTTTCTCATTACTATTTTTTTTGTTCATTTTATTTTTGTTACAAAATAGCATCTCTAGATTTTTTTTTTCCAAGACACAGAATAACCAGTAAGAAATAACTGTCTCTCGCTTCTATCTACACAGACATCACTGGATGGAGATATTCGACTTTGGTTACAGGAAGCTCAGACTCCGCGTGTAACTGAATCCAGCTACTCATTCTGCAGCCACATCAGATGCTCTCTTATCTAAAATCAGCCTTTAGGAATCAAAGACCAGGAGGGCGACCTGTTAGCAGCCTCTACAGTAGTCTTCTGGCCTCGATTCAAAAAATTAATCAAAGCCGTGGGTTTTAAAAGGTAGTTAAGGAATCGGGGAAAAAAGCAAAACTAAGAACACAAGTTGGTTTAGGTAAAGGAATTCTTAATAAACTTCAAAGAAATTCAAGTTTAAAGAAGTTGAAGGCATTACCAGTAATGACGGGGAGCAGTACACTGTAACCATGGATCCCAATAAAAGGCTCCTCCAATCTACAATGTCTACAATGCTCCTCCAGTCTACAATGGCTCCTCCAGTCTACAATGGCTCCTCTAAGGCTCCTCCAGTCTACAATGGCTCCTCCAGTCTACAATGGCTCCTCTAAGGCGCCTCCAGTCTACAATGGCTCCTCCAGTCTACAATGGCTGCTCATACAACATGATAGTCTGAACAGGTACATTGCAATTTCAAGATAAAACATTGTAAATTGTTCATAGTTTTATCAAGAAATGCAGACACTTATAAAGCTGGGAAAATATAATAAATCATACATTTGTAAAACAGAGTATTTGTAGACAACTAATGCAGACTGGGGTTGTTGAACGCTACCATTTGCATTTGAATGCAATGCTTCCTAAACACATGAGGGGCATTTATAAAGGGTTTGCTGTGCAATTTGAATTTGCTGGACGTTCGTCTATTTTTGTTTTACAGAATTCGGCTATAATTCCAGAGTATTCGCTATGAGTAATGCCATTGGCTGATGGGCTTGATTTTTAAAATTGTAATGGGGAAATCTTGTGTGCAATTGGAATCCCTCTGTAATGATTGATGTTGATAAGTGAATCCAGCTTGAATTGAAATGTAAAGGGAAAATCTTGTTTGTCCCTTTTATGTTGTTGTACACTGATGGGTGAATCCTCCTCAATAATATTAGGCCAATAGTGTGAACACTTGTAAAAAAGTATTGCCGAATGCCGTTAAATGCAAACAGAGGACTGTCCAGCTGTTGCAAATCACACAGTGGATCTTTTATAAATAGACCCCATAGGTTCAAATCAAAAATACAAGCTGTATTTGACCTGTAATGTCTGCAGTGTAAGTGCATCTCAATAGGACCTGCTGCGTCAAAAGAAATGCAAAGCAGATCAAAACACAGCCTAAGAATGGTTATCCATACTGCTCCATTGTGTTAAGTAGGAATCTTCTGACCTGAATTTGAATTGGGCTTAAAAACGCACATAAAAAACAAGAAATGTAACGTTGATCTACTCAAGGCCTATGGGCATAAAATACTGCTTTAGGTTACCACTACTTGACTTGAGGGTAAAGTTTTTACCTGATCGTTCCAAATTAAGTGGAGAAGACACTTTAGGGAATATTTAGAAAGCAGTGAAGGTGACTTTCAACAAACATTATTAGTGAAGAATCAATCACTGTTATTTAAAAGATGTAAAGCTAGTAGTAGTTGGTCACATTCAACTGGACTTGTTCTGTAATGTTGAGGACGTTCTGTAGCTCCTCCAAATCACTTCAGTTCTAATGAATGTCAGCAACATACTTCACCATGTTAATTCATACAGGTAGCACAGACACCTTAATGCAATCACCATGGAATGTATAGATGTCGATTCCATGGTGATTGAATTCAGGTGTCCTAAGGCATGGATATACTAAATGCTGGGTTGTTTTTATGACAAGCATTAGAACCGAACAAGTGGCTTGGAGAAGCTATGGAAAGTCTTCAACATTACAGAACAAGTCCGGTTGAATGTGACTACTACTACTAGATATACCATGAGCTGGATAAATGAGAACCTTTACAGACAGAACGCATGCAAAATTACAATGGTCCTAAAGGAAACCTTCTAAAAGTATTAGTAGTCTGGCTGCCATGTTGGCCCTCTTCCTTCAATAATTTGAGCCAGAGGTAAGCAGATGAGGACTTCTAGCTGTTCTCTGAATTTCTCAATCTGCATACTCATTCCAGGTCAAGGATTTAAAGAAAAGAAGGCAGAGGGACAAGAATACAACTAGACTTTGAACTATTTCACCAGGGGTCAGCAGTAGTGATGATCTTGGGCTAGGATCCAAAACCATGTGTGCATGCCCCGCAGGACAATGTCATTAGGCCGGGATATTCCCTACCACAAAGCCACACTTATGTGTGCGATTACAGTACAGGGAATGCCTCGGTTGCATATGATTGGCCCAGTGACAGCTTCCTGGTGGGCTTACACACATGGGTTCAGAATCTGATCAGAAGAAGCATGAGCTCAGCTCTGGTCAGTAATGGCAATCCACACAAATATGTCACCTGCAATGCGACCAAAGGTGAAATTTACAGCAATACAACCTTTAAAGTGTAGTTTCATTTTTGATAAAAAGATAAAACATAACACATGCCCCTTGTTATAAAATCTTAAAAAAATGACTGTTTAAATCTGCACTTAATGCCTTGATTTTAAAAACTGGTTACAATTTTGAATTTTAAAATCATCTTCTCACCAAGACTACTAGAACATAAATGGGGGGTCTTGTACATTTGGAAAATGGAATTCCTCTACAAACATGTGCTGCTCATGTAACTGGCTTGTTGCTTTTCTCAGTAATTTGCCTCCAATGATAATGCTGATATTGATCAGGTGACTAGAGCAGGAAGACACTCCCACTCAGCACTCAGGAAATGGGAAGTGACTGGAATCCATGTGTTCCTTCTAAACAGAAGCAGCAACAGGTGGGACTATGGAATTCATTTTGTTAAAATCCTACCAGTTTATATAACGGACCAGGGGAAGATTTTTTTTTTTTCAGAAAGAGCAGAGCTACACTTTAAATACACCAAATTTTTCTGGCTGGACTGCAGTCTTCCAAGTACTAGTGAGGTTGTGGGAGGCCACGTAATGTATGTAATAATGAGACGCTGCTGTCAAATGGGTTGCGGGAGCTAGGTGGCCACTTAATGTTAATACATGGTGAGACCCCAACCAAAAAAAAAGGATTTCCTTTGTAGATGAATTAGATTTTTAGGTTACATCATCGAGATTCCTTTGAATGCCTCCATAGTAGGAAACAAGTGCTAACCTCCATGGCTAGCAGGAAGATCATATCAGAAACGTTGAAGATCCATTGAATGTTTCAACCCACCAAGAACTAAACCACGTAAACCAACTCTTCAATATAAGGCATGCCACTTGTGGCCTACAAGTTCTTTTTTAGCGCATCTATTCAGTTATAGCGGAGTCTGACGCAACCAGTAACCATAACCCGTCCATCTTTGACTTCACAGCTGTTGGTAGCAACCCCAAAACCCCCCCAGCCAGCTCTATCTAACAGCTGAAAAGGACAAGCTGGACATCTGAGATGTAGAATGTACACAGGATATCATTGTCACACTTTGTCACCAGTTTCCAACTCACTTGAGAAGGCAAAAAACCTGTTTCAGCAAAATATAACACAATCTCACAAAGCGGGCACAACAGTAGTGCGGCCATTTTTTGTCTGTCCATATTCACAAGAGAACAGCCTGTCGGTTCGGCTGGGTGACATCATAGGACACGAAGATGAATCGCCAGGCTGACATTTTAAAATGGCTCCCTCCACTTATGTGTGGTGCTCTTTAACAAAAAGAGCATACTAAAAAAAAAAAAAAAAAAAGAAAAGAAAAAAACAAAAACATTAAAAAACAACACAAAAAAAAGCAAAATAAAAGGGTTCGAGTGTAGAGATAACGGGCTAATGACACCTAGTAAGAACTCATTTTGTTGGTCCCACTGCTACTGTTACACCAGGAGCCCCCAAAACACTTTTCTCCCAAATGGAGAAGATACAGCTGTAATCTAGAGGCACACAGTATTGTGATATCGGGTTGCAGCGCCTGTACTGGCATAGTCAGAAATAAAGTACACACAAAGCATAGCCATCTCAGTGTCATCCAGACCTGTTAGGGGGGTGGGGTGGGGGAGAAGGGTGGAATACTATCGATTGCAATTGAAATGTTAACACAGCCAAGACAAGGGGACATAGACGCCTTCCTCCCACATACTGTATCATGAGACAAAGTAAATGATGAACCGTTTTGGTTAAAATCAAGGCAAATTTCAGGTCTTAAAGACAGAACTGAATAGTTTTTGTTTCCTTTTTTATTCTGATTTTCAGAAGTTCTTCTTTCTTTTTAAAAAAAAAAAAAAAAAAAAAAGGCGTTGACCTCCCTCTGGTCAGGAAAAGGTTTAGATGACAACAATTTTCAAGAGAGATCTGTATTTTTCTTCCTCTCGCTCCATTATATTTTTAATTCCCTCAAAGTACCTGTTGACGTTGTATTTTAACACTCCTCACTTGGATCCGCCGGGAGGGAAAAGAGACAGCTTAGTTCACTGTGATCACACGATCAGCAAAATACCATCTGCTCATTTTGAAACGTGTGAGGCCAAATATAAAAAAAACAAAACACAAAAAAAAAAAAATCGCAATGTTTGGAATTCAACCGCGTGACCATTCCAGGTCCAATATGTTTTGTTCCTTAAAAAAAAAAAAAAAAACATAAGTAAAAAAAAAAAAAGGGGGTAATTTCAACACAATTCGGGAAGGCGGCCACCACAGCAGCTGTCTTTGGCAAGAAGTCAATTATTTCTTTATTGTCTTTGTCACCTTCTGCCCATCTCACTCTGTCTCATAAAGTGGATGTTGTTAGCGCTGTCCGAGAGTTCGGGATACTGCTCCACGGATATGACATAATAGCCATCGTAGCCCTGCACCCGCCCAGTGCTTAATAACTGCTGCTTTTCGCCCTCAGTCCACACTCGCAGGCCTTCTTCCCCATCTCGAAGTCTTTGTTGCTCTTTGAGCCAGGCTTGTGAAATGGCCCTTTGACGGGCCACTTCCAAAACATGGACTTTCTCCTCGTCCAAGGAGGTGCTATAGCGGGTATTGATACAAAGGGTGCCATACTGTAACTGTATATCTGTGTAGCGTTTGTTGGTCCTTGCTCCAAGAAGTGTATTGATTTGTGACACGGTTACGTTGACCCCGTTTTCCAAGGTTCTCCTTCCACCGCTGAGTCCCAATATGGACAGGTCGCTGTCAGAGGGACCCTGCTTGACAAAGTAATGAGTGTCGACCCCGTCGATGGTGAAATGTAAATTCTCCAGATACTGGGCATTGTTTAAGATGGCGGCAATTCGTCTCCCATCTTCATTGGCGACGCTGATGATGTCAGTGGTGACACGGCCATCTTTCATTGCAAACTTTACGCCCTTTCCAAAGATGGAACCAAATGTGGCAAATTTCTTACTCTCCTTCTCTGGACGACAGCCAGCGATGGGTGAATTGTAGACAGGATCGAACCTCTCCAAAGTGACAAACGCCTTCAGTTGCTTCTGGACTTCACACTGCACGCCCAAGATTGACTATAAGAAAAAGAACAATTTGATTAGAAAACTAAACTGAACCATATAAAGGATACCTAAAGTGATGCCAAAGACTCATTTTTTCCCCCCTAAAATAAGAAAAGAGGGTTATACTTACCTGTGTCCCCCACCTCCTTTTTAGGAGTTTCACGTCGATACTGCCTGCTCCTCCTCTTCTCTGAGCGCTCTCATAGCAAGACGTGCCCTGGTTCCTTCTCACTGGATTTGACTGATAGCAGCAGCCAATGGCTTAGTCAGTTTTTAAATTGATTTTAGTCAAGTGGAGCTTGCAAGTCTACCTATGGCTCAAACTTCAGTTAATTTAGCAAGAGTTGGATGGCATTGGATCCATTTATGGGCAGCTTAAGGAGCATAAAATATCTATTAGTTCTCAGCAGTTTAGTGCAAAGTTCCTCTAAACTGGCCCTTGGATGTCACTGATAACGCATGTTTTTCAAACCACATTACACATTCACTTATAAAACGATCAGAAGGCATTTATCTACTGGATGAACAAGCTTCAACTTGAAAGTTGTTAAAAAAATATATACATTTTTGATGGGGATCTAAGCTGAGAAACACTGTTGACACGTTTTGACATAGAAACCTCTAGTAGCGGCCACCATGTGCAAAGGATATAGTGAACAGCTAAAAGGACATGTTAATAATATCGCCAAAGGTAATTTATCAAACGGCACAGCAAAAAATAATGGATTTAAACCTGTACTGAAGAAATAAGCATCTACTGTTGGCCTCTCCTTTTGAAAATGCTGGTCACTGGCTATCATGCTGATCCAATGGCTTCAAAACTTTGAGTCTGTATGTTTTCTGAATGATATACTAATGAAAGTACCGAGACAGCCAAGCAACTGGAATTTTCAGAAGAAAGTTAGTAATGACAGCCCCATGTATCTCTCTGAAGAGGTTTCCTTTAAGAATAGATGATCCAGTATGCATTGTCTTTATTTTGAACAATGAGGAAAGTTAGAGAGTCCTGGTCAATAGTGCTTTCCTATGATCATGGACCAGTGAAATGTATTGTCCCCTTACACTATCCGGGCCTCATTCCAGGTTACAATCTCCTAATCGTAGTTGCAAATTGTACCTGTAAAGAAAATAGTTAGGGTTTATGCTCTCTTCCACCCGTGTTTTTCACCAGCAGTGACTAGACAAGGATGACTTTGCATCCCTTCCAACTAGATCCTGGAAATACAGAGCAGCTGAAATCTGGTGAGAACACACTCTTGCAATGGACTGTGTCGGAAGATTTCACCTGCCCTGCATTCTCCTGGAATTTTCCCAGAAGAAATATATACAAGAGTATAAAATATATGTATTAAAAGAGGTATAAACTCCAGAGAGAGAGAGATATCATATTACCCCGGTACAAATCATTAGTAATACCTTATCTGGAATATGCAGTTCAGTTTTGGGCACCAATTCACAAAAAGAACATTGGGGAACTGGAGAAAGTACAGAGAAGGGCAACCAAACTGATAAGAGGCATGGAGGAGATCAGCTATGAGGAATGATTAGAGGAACTGAATTTATTCTCTCTTGAGAAGAGGAGATTAAGGGGGATATGATCTCCATGTATAATACATAAGGGGGGATATGATCACCATGTATGATACATAAGGGGGGATATGATCTCCATGTATAATACATAAGGGGGGATATGATCTCCATGTATAATACATAAGGGGGGATATGATCAACATGTATAATACATAAGGGGGGATATGATCTCCATGTATAATACATAAGGGGGGATATGATCTCCATGTATAATACATAAGGGGGGATATGATCTCCATGTATAATACATAAGGGGGGATATGATCACCATGTATAATACATAAGGGGGGATATGATCTCCATGTATAATACATAAGGGGGATATGATCTCCATGTATAATACATAAGGGGGGATATGATCACCATGTATAATACATAAGGGGGGATATGATCACCATGTATAATACATAAGGGGGGATATGATCACCACGTATAATACATAAGGGGGGATATGATCACCATGTATGATACATAAGGGGGATATGATCAACATGTATAATACATAAGGGGGGATATGATCTCCATGTATAATACATAAGGGGGGATATGATCACCATGTATAATACATAAGGGGGGATATGATCTCCATGTATAATGCATAAGGGGGATATGATCACCATGTATAATACATAAGGGGGGATATGATCTCCATGTATAATACATAAGGGGGGATATGATCACCATGTATGATACATAAAGGGGGATATGATCTCCATGTATAATACATAAGGGGGGATATTATCTCCATGTATAATACATAAGGGGGATATTATCTCCATGTATAATACATAAGGGGGGATATGATCTCCATGTATAATACATAAGGGGGGATATGATCTCCATGTATAATACATAAGGGGGGATATTATCTCCATGTATAATACATAAGGGGGGATATGATCTCCATGTATAATACATAAGGGGGGATATTATCTCCTTGTATAATACATAAGGGGGATATGATCACCATGTATAATACATAAGGGGGGATATGATCACCATGTATAATACATAAGGGGGGGATATGATCACCATGTATAATACATAAGGGGGGGTATGATCTCCATGTATAATACATATGGGGGGGGATATGATCTCCATGTATAAAATACATAAGGGGGGGGGGGTATGATCTCCATGTATAAATACATCACTGGTTCATATAGTGAACTCGGTGTAGAGCTATTCACCCTGAGGTCATCACAGAGGACAAGGGGGCACTCTTTACGTCTGGAGGAAAATAAATGTAATCTCCAAACACAGAAAGGTTTCTTCACAGTGAGAGCTGTGAAAATGTGGAATAGACTCCCTCAAGAGTTGGTTCTGGCCAGCTCAGTGGATTGCTTTAAAAAAGTCCTGGATTCTTTCTTAGATACACAGAATATAACTGGATACTAACATTTATAGGTAAAGTTGATCCAGGGAATATCCGATTGCCTCTCGGGGGATCAGGAAGGAATTTTTTCCTTGCAGGAGCAAATTGGATCGTGCTTTGCTGTTTTTTTTTTTTTGCCTTCCTCTGGATCAACTGTGGCTATAGAATTATAACTTTTTTTTTTTTTTTTTAATGGTTGAACTGGATGGACTTTTGTCTTTTTTCAGCCAGATGAACTATATAACTATGAAAGATGGAGGTATGACAAGCATAAATTGATTTTTTAAGTTACATTTTATTCCTAACAAAGCTGGAACGAGGAAATTTAGTGGATTCTGCATTTCACTGCAAGGTCCACTTTAAAAGCAAGTGGTGAGCAATAGCACGAAATTCTGCAGAGTGTAGGACTTCACCTTTGTATTCTTAATCATCAATGACCCTTTAATCAGAGCAAAGAGCATACCCACAGCACCCAGGTTTTCAGCTGCCGGGAGACAGGCGGTGTCCAGCTAGTAACTATAGGCATCTGCACACTTTTCCTTGCCTTACTATTAGTTAAACTCTCGGATCACCATGAAAGGTTTTACCCTAAGGCTATCAGAGTAACTGGAAAGCAATGCTACACTGAATATCTGCAAATTTTAGGGACAACAGAATTATCTTTGGAACTCAGCTATCTCATGCAGAATTGAGCCTTTGAGTTATGCTGGCACATGCTAGTAGTTAGCAGCTGGGAAGATGGAACACTGATCAAAAACTTCAGGCGGAGGTCAGATGTGTTCTGAGACGCCTCAAAGTCATGCCGCACCAGAACCATAATGATTTAAAATAAAAAAAAGATTCAGACTAATAGGACTAATAGCTGGAGCTGTGCAGAACCCTGTTGGATTTTGCAATTTAAAGCAATGGGGAATACAGCAGAAGGAGAGAAAACCTAGGAAGGTACCTTGAGAGATACACAGAGCAGGTAGATGAGGATTCACAGCATCTACTCTGTAAAGGAAATACCAATTTTGATTGGTTTGACCTCGTTAAATGGTGAAACATTGGCCACGACTGGCTTGCTCAGAAAAAAACAAGCAAATTCTCTTCTCAGTGCATAATGGGACAGTGCCACAAAAGCTACAATATTCCAGTCTCATTGCTCCACATGACAATCTACAGAGGACATTGTTTCTCTAACTTGCTCCGATGGAGCCAACAAGCCTGGAACAGCTACACTGAAGCTGGATAAACAGTTCTATATGTTGGGCTTTGTTTGTGCCAGGAGGCAGCAGCTCTTGGTGTACCATTGACCACAAGGGTACACAGTGATGGTGGTCAACTTACGATGTGCAGGGGGCCTCAAAAGCATTTTCTAAATTACAAGGGGCTGAATATAATATTCAGTATTTGATATTCTACAAAAGAATGACACTGGAATCTCATTACGGGAGATTATCAAAGACTGCGGAGATGTGGCGGGGTTAGAGACATGTTTTAGGAGACTGAAGACACTGCCATAACAACCCCATCACAAATTATGGCTCCCACTAATTACTGCTGGGGGTCATGGTCTTCACAAGGGGCACAGATTGGGCATCAAGGGTTTAGAGGATGGTTTACCCCTAAATTAAACATATTGGTGATGGGAGTGTTGATATATCTCCACCCCAGTGGTCAACGTACAATGTATAGGGGGTCCTCAAAAACATTCCCTATGGACTATGGAGATGTGATTGGTGTAGTTAGAGACTGGAGATATGTTGTAGGAGACAAGTGGAGACTGGAGACACTTGACTGCCATAACAACCCCTTCACAAATCATAGCTCCCACTAATAACTTCTGGGGTTCAAGGTCTACACAAGGGACACAGGTTGGGCATTAAGAGTTTCAAAGATTATTTACATGGTTCAAATTAAAAAAACAAATTGGTGATGGGAGTGTACTGATATGTCTCCCCCCCCCCCAGTGGCCACTCTAGCTCCCCTGGAGGCTTCCTGGTGTGTATGTTATGCTTTTTTTTAATTTGCTATTATACCTGAAGTCTTCAGGTCAGTAACACAATACATGGTCCTCTTTGCCTCCCTCCCTCGCACTGGGCAGTCTTCAATGATGCTGATGTAATGCTGTCACTTCTGCTCTCTGCATCATTACTGTGAATGCATGGCACCATTATGACTCCTCACCCAGGGGGACGACACCATGGTGCTCTGCACTCACAGCATGTTCTCAGTCTACAGGGCTGAATAATACTGGGCATCATTCAACCCAGTAGACAGAGGACATCTAAGGGTGGAAAAGCAGCACTGCAGAGAAAAGATGAGTACTGCAGCAAGAGCTGCTTTTTATTACTATATCTAGGGGACATTTTTAGGAAAAAACGACTGGAGTTAGGTTTTAATATAGAAGAAACATAGAAGAGTGACAACAGAAAAAAAAAAAAGACCAAGTGGTCCATCAAGTCTGCTCAGTTTTTTTTTTCATTTAGCTTTTCAAAGAATTACGTTTGTTCTAAACTGTTAACTGACTCACTGAAAGTCCATTCCAAACATCAACTACTCTTTTGGTAAAAAGAAAAAAAAAATACTTTCTAAGGTCAGTAAGGATGCTTCTTTTCAAGTAAATGTGGAGTATGTTGATAAAACACCCATGCTGCATTTTTACTGTGAATAGTGAGGCAATTTTGTAATTCTCAAGATTTCTTTGCTCAGTTTTAAAGAACTAAGGTGCTATTTGTCTATCATTTTTTACATGAAAATCAGTTGAGTTGCATTAACGTCAAAAACTTGGTGCCAGCCATTATTTTCTAAGGTGATTTTTCTTTAAATTAATTTGAAGTTTAAATACTGTAAAACACTGTAGAAATGACAACTTGTCAAAAACTATTTAACCTGAAAAATGTGCACACGCAAAAAAAAAAAAACAAAAAACACTTGACTTAACAAATAACAGTCAAATAACAGAAAAAAATCCATAAATGTTGATTTTAAATGAAGAGAAAAATACATTATAAACAGCAGCATAAACAAAAATTGAAAATCATTAAAATGTTGCAGTTTACCAATAAAAATGCATTTAAAAACAGACATCTATATGTCTATTTTTCTATCCAACTATCTCAAGGTCAAATATGGTCATAAAAAATATTACAAATTTAGCCCTGTATCTAATACCCCAGATGATCCATTGGAAGGATGTAAAAAATCTATTAAAGTCCTGGTGCCAACCTTGCTGCCCAAGAGTCAAATGTGGCCCTTTGGTGTTTGCAGTGTGGTCCTTTTACCCCAGCAGTCAGTATTGGGAGCCTCCATTTGGAAAGGGGATGTAATAGTTGTAATCTCTAGCAGTCTCCTGTAACATTCCTGCAGTCTCTGACTGTCTCTAGCAGCATCACTTCAATCCCCAACTACTCCTGCCCATATGGGATGCACAGGTGTTCCATCCCCATGTAGGCAGTCCCATTAATGTTTGCTCCCAAATTGACATCCGTGTGGGTGTGTGTTCACAAACACAGACAGCATGAGTTTGGGGACGCACCAGGAGCCCACATGGGTGTCAATTTAGGAGCAGCGGCTATGGGAGGACCACACAAGGGCCAGGGAGGACCACACAAGGGCCAGGGAGGACCACACAAGGGCCAGGGAGGACCACACAAGGGCCAGGGAGGACCTCACAAGGGCCAGGGAGGACCTCACAAGGGCCAGGGAGGACCTCACAAGGGCCTGGGAGGACCTCACAAGGGCCAGGGAGGACCTCACAAGGGCCAGGGAGGACCTCACAAGGGCCAGGGAGGACCTCACAAGGGCCAGGGAGGACCTCACAAGGGCCAGGGAGGACCTCACAAGGACCAGGGAGGACCTCACAAGGACCAGGGAGGACCTCACAAGGACCAGGGAGGACCTCACAAGGACAAGGGAGGACCTCACAAGGACAAGGGAGGACCTCACAAGGACAAGGGAGGACCTCACAAGGGAGGACCTCACAAGGACAAGGGAGGACCTCATAAGGACCAGGGAGCAGCGATTTGGAAAGAGAATGTAATAGTTATAATCTCTAGCAGTCTCTTGTAACATATCTGCAGTCTCTGACTGTCTCTAATAGCATCACTTCAATCCCCAACTACTCCTGCCCATATGGGATGCACAGGTGTTCCATCCTCATGTAGGCAGTCCCATTCATGTTTGCTTCCAAATTGAGATCCGTGTGGGTGTGTGTTCACAAACACAGACATCATGAGTTTGGGGACGCACCAGGAGCCCACATGGGTGTCAATTTAGGAGCAGCGGCTATGGGAGGACCTCGCAAGGGCCTGGGAGGACCTCGCAAGGGCCTGGGAAGACCTCGCAAGGGCCAGGGAGGACCTCGCAAGGGCCAGGGAGGACCTCGCAAGGGCCAGGGAGGACCTCGCAAGGGCCAGGGAGGACCTCGCAAGGGCCAGGGAGGACCTCGCAAGGGCCAGGGAGGACCTCGCAAGGGCCAGGGAGGACCTCGCAAGGGCCAGGGAGGACCTCGCAGGGGCCAGGGAGGACCTCGCAAGGGCCAGGGAGGACCTCGCAAGGGCCAGGGAGGACCTCGCAAGGGCCAGGGAGGACCTCGCAAGGGCCAGGGAGGACCTCGCAAGGGCCTGGGAGGACCTCGCAAGGGCCTGGGAGGACCTCGCAAGGGCCTGGGAGGACCTCGCAAGGGCCTGGGAGGACCTCGCAAGGGCCTGGGAGGACCTCGCAAGGGCCTGGGAGGACCACGCAAGGGCCTGGGAGGACCACGCAAGGGCCTGGGAGGACCACGCAAGGGCCTGGGAGGACCTTAAAAGTAATGATAATCAAAAACAGCAGGTTGGAGGCAAAAGATTTTGTGCCTGATATCAGCTAGTTTGCCAAAAAGGCAAAAATCCTTCTTGACCCAAAATGTTTCTGATTGACGTTTTGAGGCCAACATACTGTATGAATTCAGAAACACATCCAATCTTTATTCTTATAAACGTACAAAAATAGGGTTTTTAATCCAATAAAAATTCCTAACTCCAAAGGACATCTAAGTGAACAAACAGGGCCATGCTTGTGCCGGTCTCTGTGGGAGGACTAGTCTCCGGGGACAGTGGGGACTTCTTCTGTTCTCCATCCACTGAAACCAGAGCCTTTAAAGTGATTGATCTGTCCAGTTTCCAATGCCAAAGCTGTCAAAGTGAAGTGTCAATTTTTCAAACAGATTGGAGGAGCCACTTTCACCGGTTTGAAGGTTTTTTTTTCCTGGAGAGGTCAGGGGCCAGGAATAGCTGGCTACAGTAAAAAGGTCCTTAGAGCCACAGGCTGTTTTTTTTTTTTTTTCAGGCTTTTTTCAAACCGGTGAGCACATTAAAGTGTTTGGGAAAACTTGCAGCTCAGTTTCGGCAGCTAAAAAAAATATTAATATTAATCTCTTTTTAAGTAGCCGGACATTCACCTTTTTTTTTTTTTTGAAACGTAGCGCAGAGTGGAAACGCCGGAGTAAAGTGCGGCTTTGGAAATGAACCCTCGCTAGGTTTTGTCGGGGTTTTGACGCTCCCTTTGACTAATGGATGCCTTTAGCCATACATAATTGATTGCATAACAAATTAAGAAGTCATTTAGCTGTTACCACTTAAAAGTGTAAAATCCATTAGGAGTCGATATGGGCTCAGGGTGTGAATTCTCACAGAGAAAAGTGTTTTTAACTAGAGACCTCGGAGACCAATGTACTAGTACAGGACTGAAAATATATGCAGGGAGGCCGGGTCCCCTGTGTCATAGACTTACACCATACCCAGGCTGTTAAAGTGGACCTAGCATCAGATGGTGGTAAAACCTTGTGGTTGAGCCGTGATTGTATTGCCCTCAACCGCTACCCCCTTTAGCTGCAGAGGCAGTGGCAAAAAATGATACCCACTGTTGCTTTCGCCAGGCATAGCATCCGTCAAACGCCATCCAGTCATTATAATGGGGCTGCTCTGCAAGCATCCTGCAGACACGTGCAATGCACATGGTTGTGGTGCACTTGTCTGGATGTTAGCAAAGCAACGAAGCAACCCACATTACCTTGCTGTTATCCCATTCCTGCGTCTTCATCTGAGTGTTCAGTAGTTCGTATGACGGTTCCATGGCATCGATCTCCGGCCTGGGGTAACCAGGAATGACGTTGTGGAGCTGGAAGCCGAATGTCAGGAGCCAGCTGTTCACATCTAGGGGCCAAAAGAAGACAACAATGAGCATTGTGCAGTTTGGGTTCAGGTTTACTGAATCTGAACATCAGGTTATTGCTAGAATTCAAGTTAAAAATGCAGGCACCTGAGTTCCTGGGTCTACATCAGCTGTGCCCATCATAAAGAGATTCCACCATCCCTGCACATCCCAGGTCTGGACACTGGCTGTGCCCATTATGAGGGGTCCCCACCATCCCTGTGCTGAGTTCCCAGGTCTCTCCACCTGCTGTGCCCATTATGAGCGGTTCTCACCATCCATGTGCTGAGTTCCCGGGTCTCTACACTGACTGCGCATATTATGAGGGGTTTCCACCATTCCTGTGCTTAGTTCCTGGGTCTGTACACCTGCTGTGCCCATTATGAGGGGTTCCCACCATTCCCTTGCTGAGTTCCTGGGTCTCTCCACCTACTATGCCTATTATGAGTGGTTCTCACCATCCATGTGCCGAGTTCCTGGGTCTCTACACTAGCTTTGCTCATTATGAGGGGTCCCCACCATCCCTTTGCTGAGTTCCTGGGTCTCCCCCACCTACTATGTCCATTATGAGGGGTTCCCATCATCCCTGTGCTGAGTTCCCAGGTCTGCACACCTGCTGTGCCCATTATGAGTGATTCCCTCCATACCTGTGCTGAGTTCCCAGGTCTGCACACCTGCTGCACCCATTATGAGGGATTCCCACCATCCCTGTGCTAAGTTCCTGTATCTGCACACCTGCTGCACCCATTATGAGGGATTCCCACCATCCCTGTGCTAAGTTCCCGTATCTGTACACCTGCTGTGCCCATTATGAGGGGTTCCCACCAACCCTGTGCTGAGTTCCCAGGTCTGTACACCCGCTATACCCATTATAAAGGGTTCTCACCATCCCTGTGCTAAGTTCTCGGGTCTGTACACCTGCTGTTAGAACACACAAAAGGGGACAGGAACACTCAAAATGTCCATGTAGTCAGGAGTAGAGTCAAGATATATGGGATGGAGATCTCACCACTGCGAGGTAACCAAGACCACAGACAAGGGGCTGAATCACACCTCCAGGCTGCAATTAGAACCTTTTAAAATAACATCCTTAACCTCACCTCAAGCACTATTTTAAAGCCTGCTGAAATCAAATCTGACAATACCTGCCGATCATCTGCATAGAAGGAATCCTGATATCTAAAAATACAGTAGAAAAAAAGCTGGGTGAAGGCATGAATGTCTTAGGAGATCCATGTTGTGATGGGAGTCACTTTGGGTGGGGGGCCCATGGAACACAGCCCCCTTTAGAGTGGTGGGGAGACCCCTGTCTCAGCTCCCCATATCCCTCTTATGTGTAAGTCACCCTGTGCCTGTTAGGGGTACAGGGTGGAATGTCCTGCTATTGCGTAGACATGTTTAGGTGGGGAGTTGTTCATTGTTCACTGCCATGGGGCTGCATCCCATTGTTCTATTGCTTGTCTGGCTTGGGAGCAAACTATTATGGGATGTAAGTGTTTGTGTACTGGTTTGGTGGGGGTGTTTCCGGCAGCCCTTCCCCCTGATGGGACTGCCTACTAATGTGTTTTCTGTTACTGAGTATGTATTTCCCTGCCCTGTGTATATATCTTGTATCTATGTTAAAATAAAGCAGTCTATCTCCTGGAATCCTTCAAGTCTGGTGCTGTCTCCTCTTGTGTGGTCAGCGGTGGTGTCCGTGGATCTGTGTTCGGACAGGAAAGCGGGAGTCTAACAGAAATACCCTAGTGCAGTCTGGGGTCAGTTCTGTTACACATGTCAAGCAGTGATTGGCTTGTAAAGGACTGCACAGTGTAAAAGAAATTTTTTTTCATACAACAGACGTACCACATTAGCTCTGTGCATAGATTATTGAAGGCATCCCCCTGATCCTCAAACCTACACATGCTCCACAAGCTGACAGAAAAGTGGTTGTAGGAACCAGCAAACAGCCCGCATGTCTATTTCATAGAATGCCAGAAAACACCAAAGCCTCTTTTCTCCTCAACGCATTTCCTTTTTCGCTTGCTTTCAGACACTTCACAAAGCATGTGCTGTATATAAAAATATTTACGATGGCAGCACTGAATCATTCAGATAGGCAAACAGATTTTTTTTAATTTTCTCTAAAGCAAAAAAAAAACGTGCTATAAAGATTTGTCACCAATGCTGATTATTTGTAAGCATATTTAAATAATGACAGCGGCATAGGATAAAGAGTAATTAATCGGCCTTGTCAGCTTGTAGGAACGGCATCTGGACCATACAAGGATGGTTAAACGCCTGCACGGTCTGCACTCGTGTCCTCGTTCTTCATCCATTATTTGAGTAATGATTCCTAGTATAATAATCAATCACACTGTACTCTGGCTTTTAATAATGTCCTTGATGAAAAAAAACAGAGGTCGTGATCAAATGCCATGTTTAATTAACTGCCAGCTTGCTACTTGTACAAGTTACTCTTTAATGATGCTGCCGCAAGACGCCTTCATTAAGGGGCCGGCTGTGCTGGCAGCCGTCGCTGAGCCAGGTCGAGGATAAGCCACGTCTTAAAAGGACCAGTAATCCTTCACATTGCGCATGTGTATATATATTATATATAAATAAATATAAATATATATATATATATATAGCCTTTTTTCAGCGGGAACACAGTTCCGGCACTTCCAGCACTGACTGTAAGTAATGGCATGGGGTGTCCTGAAGGGTCTGTTGATGCTGGCTGCTGGGGGATCTATTATTGCTGAGTGGGATCTATTTTTGCATGGGGAGGTCTATTGTTCCTTGTGGGGGGAAGGGGGCTTATGTTGCTGGGGGGTCAATTGTTGCTGGAAGGGATCTACTGTTGAGGAAGGGGTCTATTGTTGCTGGCTGCTGGAGAGTCCATTGATGCTGGCTGCTGGGAGATCAATTGTTCCTGGGGTGGTATTTTTGTGGAGGAGGGTGTCTATTGCTGCTGGAGGGGATCTTTTTTACTGCTTTTCTTGTTATCAATAACAAATTCCATACAACTTACTTAGCACCACAAAATGATACTTGGTTCTATATTCTCTAAATGGGGCGGTACTGGGAGATGGGTAGGGGGTTGAACCTAGGGATGGTCCTCGGAGGTGGGCAGGAGGTGGAGACAAGAGGTGGCTTAGAAGGAGGGGGGGGGGGGGGTTCCTTCACCTATTATCTGAGAAAAAAAGCTCTGCGTATGCGTGTGTATATCTATCTATCTAGATATGGGGAAACCTCTCCTGCTGGATATCTAGACTGATATGGATGGGTAATATGTTAGGAATGTAAGGATGCCCCATCATTTGATGGAAATGAAAATGATCAACCTACAGAGGGCTGAATTGAAAGACACCCCAAAAATCAAAGTGAAAAAATGAGGCAGCAGGCTAGTTTATTTTGCTGACAAAATGTCATTGCTGCAACTCAGAATGGTCCTCAGTAGTTTGTATGGCCCCCACGTGCTTGTATGCATGCCTGACAACATCAGGGGAGGCTCCTAATGAGACGACAGATGGTGTCCTGGGGGATTTCCTCCCAGATCTGAACCATTATATCACTGAGCACCTGGACAGTCTGAGGTGCAAACTGGAGTCAGATGGTTCGAAACATGACATCCCAGAGGTGTTCTATTGGATTTAGGTCAGGTGGGCATGGGGGCCATTCAATGGTATCAATTCCTCCATCCTCCAGGAACTGCCTGCATACTCTCGCCACATGAGGCCGGGTATTGTCGTGCACCAGGAGGAACCCAGGACCCACTGCACCAGTGTATGGTCTGACAATGGGTCCAAGGATTTCATCCCAATACCTAATGGCAGTCAGGGTGCCATTGTCCAGCCTGTAGAGGTCTGTGCGTCCCTCCATGGATATGCCTCCCCAGACCATCACTGACTCACCACCAAAACAGCCATGCTGAACAATGTTACAGGCAGCATAACATTCTCCATGGCTTCTCCAGACCCTTTCACGTCTGTCACACGTGCTCAGGGGGAACCTGCTCTCAGCTGTGAAAAGCACAGGGCGCCAGTGGTGGACCTGCCAATTCTGGTGTTCAATGGCAAACATGGTTCGAAACATGACATCCCAGAGGTGTTCTATTGGATTTAGGTCAGGTGGGCATGGGGGCCATTCAATGGTATCAATACCTGACAATGGGTCCAAGGATTTCATCCCAATACCTAATGGCAGTCAGGGTGCCATTGTCCAGCCTGTAGAGGTCTGTGCCTCCCTCCATGGATATGCCTCCCCAGACCATCACTGACTCACCACCAAAACAGCCATGCTGAACAATGTTACAGGCAGCATAACATTCTCCATGGCTTCTCCAGACCCTTTCATGTCTGTCACATGTGCTCAGGGGGAACCTGCTCTCAGCTGTGAAAAGCACAGGGCGCCAGTGGTGGACCTGCCAATTCTGGTGTTCAATGGCAAATGCCAATTGAGCTCTATGGTTCCAGGCAGTGACCACAGGGCCCACTAGAGGACGTCGGGCCTTCAGGCCACCCTCATGAAGTCTATTTCTGATGGTTTAGTCAGAGACATTCACACCAGTGGCCTGCTGGAGGTCATTTTGTAGGGCTCTGGCAGTGCTCATCCTGTTCCTCCTTGCACAAAGGAGCAGATACTGGTCCTGCTGATGGGTTAAGGACCTTCTACAGCCCTGTCCAGCTCTCCTAGAGTAACTTCCTGTCTCCTGGAATCTCCTCCATGCTCTTGAGACTGTGCTGGGAGACACAGCAAACCTTCTGGCATTGGCACATATTGATGTGCCATCCTGGAGGAGTGGGACTGCCTGTGCAACCTCTGTAGGGTCGAGGTATGGCCTCATGCTACCAGTAGTGACACTGACCCTAGCCAAATGAAAAACAGTCAGAAAAGAGGAGTAGGGTAAAAAATGTCAGTGGCCTCCACCTGTAAAACCATTCTGGTTTTGTGGGTTGTCTCATTGTTGTCCATCTATTGCACCTGTTCATTTCATTAACATCAAATCAGCTGAAACTGATTAACAACCCCCTCTGCTACTTAACTGACCAGATCAATATCCCAGGAGTTTCATTGACTTGATGCTAGACTCTGATTAAAAAAGTCTTCCTTTCATTTTTTGATCAGTGTATAAAAGAGCTCCTAATCTTATAGACAAATATCTATAGAATAGAACTGAAAACTGCACAGGAAATGATTTTGCAACATTATGGTATGGTGATTTATGGCATGTGTTTTCCTGTTTTTTAAATACAGAAAATGTGAATAAAGCCTAAAACAGCCAGTATTTTTTGTGGGGGGTTTTTTGGATAGAGTGCAGAGGAATTAGAACATCTGTCAGGTTTTTATTTCTGACTGTGCCCCCATAAGGGAGATTCCCCCTATCTATTTGTTCTGTTTACTGTAATCACAGAGAGTGAAAATGAAAGAAGATCCCAAATTTTGTGTGGTCACCAGAACAGTAGTAGAGGCAGGGCTATTGTCATCGAGAACGCCGGGGAACGCAGTTCTGCCACCTCTAGCACTGAATGTATGTAGTAGCAAGGGGTTTGTGGTGTGCTTGAGGGTCTATTGTTGCTGGCTGCTGGGGGATCTTTTGTTGCTTGGGGGGGGGCTCTGTTGTTGCTGGAGAGGTCTATTGTTGCTGGTGTGGGATCTGTTGTTGCTGATGTGTGAATTGTTGTTAGGATGGATCTACTGTTGAGGGCGGAGTCTATTGCAGGTAGCTACTTGTAGATCTATTGTTGCTGAGGGGGGTCCATTGTTGCTGGCTGCTGGGGGATCTTTTGTTGCTATGGGGAGGGGGCTCTGTTGTTGCTGGAGAGGTCTATTGTTGCTGGTGTGGGATCTGTTGTTGCTGAGGTGTCAATTGTTGCTGGGATGGATCTACTGTTGATGGAGGAATCTATTGCAGGTAGCTACTGGGAGATCTATTGTTGATGAGGGGGGTCTATTGTTGCTGGCTGCAGGGGATCTACTTTAATGCCCTTCTTATCAATAACAAATGCCATACAAATTACTTAGCACCACAAATTATACTTTGTAAAACGGGTATTAATGGGAGGTAGGTAGGGGGTGGAACCAAGGGACAGTTGTTAGAGGTGGGTAGGAGGCAAAGACAAGGGGTGACCTAGAAAAGGGGGGGGGGGGGGGGTGGAGTACCTGCACCTATTCTCTGCGGGGAAAAAAAGCCCTGAGGAGAAATCTTCCAATGAGGAGTGAGAACCAGAGATTCCCTCACTTTGGAGGAAATTCTCTCACTTCCTGTTCTGTATATGGGACAGGAAGTGAAGGGAGATCCCCACAGTGGGACATAGATGGCAAAATCCCCCCAAAACTGACAGAGGTTATAACATTCTCTTACTCTATCCAACAGGGAAAAAATGTAGTCTTATCGGTGGTTTTTGTTTCAGGTGTTTTACATGCAAACTGACACACAAATAATAATTTAAAAGACATATCCAAACTTTTGAAAAAACGTAAAACTTTTGTTAATGGTAATGTAGAGTGTTTTTGTATTTTTATATATGTTCAGGACTAAAAAATTTAATTTTTTTAACAAAATAAAAATAGTATAATTTTTTTTTTCCAGCCACAACGTGATTCTCTAGGCTCTTTTTTAGGTTTACCTCACTGTTCTTAGCTGCTCTGTTGTTTAAAGAGTTCAACAGCTCAAGCTGAACCATACACACTGCAGTCAGAGCAGTAACTTCTCCCCCTCCAAGCCTGTTTGGCTCAGACAGAGCAATCTGGAATTTCCATTAGAAAGAGTGAGAAGGCAAGCGGCTTCTGCCATGTTCCTTTCTATAAAATACCTATAATATTCTGTGACTACAGTATCATGAATTAAACAACAAAAATTTAACAAAAATGTACATAAATTATTAAAAAAAGTTCTAAAAGTTGATTTGTAAAACATAATTTTTGCAATGCAAAAAAAAAAATAAATAATCTGGGTGAAGTGGTGAATTATCTGACAGAAATGCAGAGATGCTGATATTTTTGGCCGTGACTGTATGAAAGCTTTTGTTCCCAGACAAACTCCTCTGCCAAACTTTTTTTTTCTTTAATATATGTCTAGGGTATACACCTTCACCTTCCAGAGATTGAAGTCTTTGCTTTTCCAAAAAAACTAATAAAAAAAGCTAATAAAAAAACAAAAAAAACAACAATCACAATGGTTCATTAAGACTCTTTTACTACCAGGTCAAACCAGTAACATCTTACATAGAAACACATCAATTAGACCTTTGTCCCAGTTTCTGAATGTTCCTTGCAAACATAAATTGCGCACGATAAAGCCTGATAATTTTGGACCATCAAAACACAACGGTGAGCAATAGTGACATAACGCATACTGTCAACACAATGATTAGCAACCTTGACATAACACATGCTAGACTGCTGATAAATAAAACGCACAATGGAAAGACTGTGGAGGACAATGGCCACATAAGTTTCATATGAGACGAGGTGAGCCATCAAGGGTTTGACATCTAACCCTACTGCTTGAACCTTTAAGAAAGAACATTGGTTTGGGTTTTACATTAGCCTTACCTGTCATGTAGCACTTGGTGTCTTGTGGTCGGCTTACTGGGTTGTTGTTTTTGAACATTTATATAGAGGTTAAAAGGCATGATGTTTGTGGTGCTCAGCTGCTTCCAGATGTCATGGTCAGGACTTGTCCATCGGCCTGCTAACACGTCGTACTCACGGCGACCCATATGGATAAGTTTAGTGAGAGGGTCAAAGAGGCCTCCGTGGTAACCTACAATGAGCTGAAAGTTTGGGTTGGAGTCATGGTAAATTTCACCATAGGCAGTATATAAAATCTGCTTGATCATAAGCCCAGAGCCAGTGAAAACTGCCATAGGTGTCCCCAATATTGTCACAGGCGATATAAAACTCATCCCCACTGCTTAACTCCATGGCAAAAAGATGGCCTTGAAGGTCATAATACAGGGAAGCAATTTCAGAACTTGAATGGTTGTAGAAGTGTGTGATTCTAGTAGGATTTGCCAGGTCGGCATAAAAAAACTGTAAGTGGTGACCATTGTTGGTTTTCCGTGAAACTCTCCTTCCAAGGCCATCATATCTATACCGCACACTCCAACCACTGACTTTATTATATGCTTTAACAAGAAGGCCAGCGGAGTTAAACTCGAAGATATCATTTCCCCTTTGCTTAAGAAAGCCATCTTCATCCATCCGATACTGGACATCACCCAATCTAGTTATCCGATCCCTCAGATCGTACCTGAGCGGCATGAGGCGAATGTTGTTTCCCGGATTTAGCAAGTGTAAATTTCCATTTAAGTCATAATTATACTTCCACTGCTGTTTGTCATTGATTGAAACGGTTTGCAACTGTCCATCATTATCATACTCGTAGGTGTACCGTGTGGAGTTGGCATAGGGTCCGACTTTTAACTCCTTTTTTTACCACTCGGCCCATGTTGTCATACTGTAACATCATCCAAAACATCATGGACCGAAAGATCTCATACTGTAGTTCCCGCACTCTCCCATAGGTGTCAAACTGTTTAGTGTGCGTCATGACCGCTGTAGTTATGATCTGGTTGATGTTGTAGTAAATGACTCCAAATTTCCCAAATTGCTCAGTCTTGCCAGAGACATCATCATACCTGTACAAGTCAATTGGCAACGGTGTTTCATTGATAACAGCCTGCATGCTGGTGACTCGAAAGCTATTGTCATAATTGTAGTCGAACCTAGCATTCACCATGCCTTCTTCGGTAAAACGGAAAATCTGTCTGTCGATCAGAGGTCCGATCTGTCGGTAACGGATGGTGCATGTGAAACCATCGTTCTGCAAGTTGACAGTTTTTAGCATGCCAGCGGTTTCATCATATGTAAAAGCTATTTTGGTGGTGTCGTATAGAATCTCTGCAAGTTTTGATAGTTTGCCATATTTATATATTACGCGTCTTCCAGTACCCATGTACAATGTTTGTAGAAGATGTCCTTCTTCAGAAAAGTCTTGCAGTACAGAGGCGTTGCCCTCTGGAGGTCGATAGATGTTTCTGTAGTATCCAATAGAACGGACGGTCTCTAAGGTTTGTCTGGCCACGTTGGGCATCGTAACGGAAGAAAGGCGGTTGTTTTTATCAAACTCAAAGATGTACTGTCTCTGGCTGTGAAGAAGTAGCACCATCGACTATAGAAGAAAATAAAAAGTTTGATGAGTAATTCCGTACACTCAACACTACAGCAAACATACCATATTATTTGTAGCCTTCATAAGTAAATGGAGAGCTCAAACAGTTATCAGCAGATGTGTACTTGAATTTCCCAGGCCAATGTTTTTTCTACACCTCAGACTTGAGGCTTTTGTAGATACATTACAAAATTCTGCAAACACACGAATAATGTCTAAAGCCTTCCCCCTACCTGTTGTCTATCCTGAATAAAAGCATAAGAGCCTCTCCCCCCCATCATTGCAAAACAAAAGTGGCTACAACATGTTAGTCCGGTGTAGTACCATAATGGTCCTAAGTTACATCAAGCTTTGATGTGTTATGTGTATAACCTGCCTCGGAGATGTAGTTAAATATGCTATATGTAACTATGTTGAAAAGGCATGTACAATGATAATTTTAATATGTTGAGCCTAGTTTGGGTGGCTGAAGCTTGCATAGATGAGCTCTGACCTTTGCTTGCCTACCTACAGATTCAATCATATTCATAAAGATTGAAAAATAAAAAGAGATGGAAGTTCAGTGTGCGTGAAATTTGACCATTGGAAAACTTCAGATAATATATAAATATGCATGCTTGGATTTCCTAGGTTTCAGTGCAGATGAGAGCCCATACAGACACCTCTTGCGCCTGTTTATCTCAAGGGAAACAGTGATTGGTCTAAAAAAAAGCAAAAACAAAAAAAAAAACAAAAAAAAAAAACCAATTTGTTGACCCATCTACTTCTACCCACACACACATACAGTGGGGCAAAAAAGTATTTAGTCAGCCACCAATTTTGCAAGTTCTCCCACTTAAAAAGATGAGAGAGGCCTGTAATTGGCATCATAGGTAGACCTCAACTATGAGAGACAAAATGAGAAAAAAAATCCAGACAATCACATTGGCTGATTTGGAAAGAATTTTATTTGCAAATTATGGTGGAAAATAAGTATTTGGTCACCTACAAACAAGCAAGATTTCTGGCTCTCACAGACCTGTACCTTCTTCTTTAAGAGGCTCCTCTGTCCTGCACTCATTACCTGTATCAATGGCACCTGTTTGAACTTGTTATCAGTATAAAAGACACCTGTCCACAACCTCAAACAGTCACACTCCAAACTCCACTATGGTGAAGACCAAAGAGCTGTCGAAGGACACCAGAAACAAAATTGTAGACCTGCACCAGGCTGGGAAGACTGAATCTGCAATAGGCAAGCAGCTTGGTGTGAAGAAATCAATGTGGGAGCAATAATTAGAAAATGGAAGACATACAAGACCACTGATAATCTCCCTCGATCTGGGGCTCCACGCAAGATCTCACCCAGTGGGTAAAAATGATCACAAGAACGGTGAGCAAAAATCCCAGGACCACACGGGGGGACCTAGTGAATGACCTGCAGAGAGCTGGGACCAACATAACTAAGGCTACCATCAGTAACACACTACGCCGCCAGGGACTCAGATCCTGCAGTGCCAGACGTGTCCCCCTGCTTAAGCCAGTACATGTCCGGGCCCATCTGAAGTTTTCTAGAGAGCATTTGGATGATCCAGAAGAGGATTGGGAGAACGTCATATGGTCAGATGAAACCAAAATAGAACTGTTTAGTAGAAACACAAGTCGTCGTGTTTGGAGGAGAGGGAATGCTGAGTTGCATCCAAAGAACACCATACCTACTGTGAAGCATGGGGGTAGCAACATCATGCTTTGGGGCTGTTTCTCCGCAAAGGGACCAGGACAACTGATCCAGGTACAGGACAGAATGGATGGGGCCATGTATCGTGAGATTTTGAGTGCAAACCTCCTTCCATCAGCAAGGGCATTGAAGATGAAACGTGGCTGAGTCTTCCAACATGACAATGATCCCAAACATACCGCCCGGGCAATGAAGGAGTGGCTTCGTAAGAAGCATTTCAAGGTCCTGGAGTGGCCTAGCCAGTCTCCAGATCTCAACCCCATAGAAAACCTTTGGAGGGAGTTGAAAGTCCGTGTTGCCCAGCGACAGCCCCAAAACATCACTGCTCTAGAGGAGATCTGCATGGAGGAATGGGCCAACATACCAGCAACAGTGTGTGCCAACCTTGTGAAGACTTACAGGAAACGTTTGACCTCTGTCATTGCCAACAAAGGATATATAACAAAGTATTGAGATGAACTTTTGATATTGACCAAATACTTATTTTCCACCATAATTTGCAAATAAATTCTTTCCAAATCAGCCAATGTGATTGTCTGGATTTTTTTTTTTCATTTTGTCTCTCATAGTTGAGGTTAACCTATGATGCCAATTACAGACCTCTCTCATCTTTTTAGGTGGGAGAACTTGCACAATTGGTGGCTGACTAAATACTTTTTTGCCCCACTGTAGATCCTCAGTTTGCTCAAGCAATGATCAACTCAAAAGGAGTTCCTTTTTGGTATTTCCAGGCCAATGGGAGATATATTTACTCTGTTTTGGGTCTTTACTAGTGCCTCCTCCCAGTTGAAGGAATGTGATTCGGCTAACACGAGGCCTTCCAAGAGACGTCACTATAAGATGCTTAAACAACCTCAACTGTTTGCTCTCAGTTCACAAGTTTCTAAGTATACACGAGTCCATGATTTTCCATCAGCGAATGTCTGAGATGTAATTCTCCCAGTCTGGTCATACTCCATCCTATCAGACATGGTTCCTCTCTGAATCCCTGATGAGATTTTTCTACAAGTTACCACAACACATCATCTAAAATGACCACCTTTGTGATAAACATGATTACTTCTGAACACTATGTAAATGTATTTTACATTAAACATTAATGAGAATATCAGAAGTGATCCAAACCTTTTCCAAGTATGTATAAGTCCATGATTTTCCATCAGCGAATGTCCGAGATGTAATTCTCCCAGTCTGGTCATACTCCATCCTTTCAGACATGGTTCCTCTCTCTGAATCCCTGCCACGTGTCCCCCAGGGGAGTAGGTCACATTTACTCCACTCAGCCCATTCGATGGAGACCAGAGGCTTGGCCTTCCTGCCTGATCATAAAGGATCCTCAGGGTGAACTTCCTGTGATCATCGTTAATTTTTTCTGTTCTTGTAACCCGGTCAAAATCCAGGGAAAGCAAATTCCTGTTGTGCACCTGTTGGAAATGAGAGCTGTAATTAGTTATGAGCACAAGACCGCTATTAGACAAGTGAATTACAGTGCTATCTCCACCAGAATTTCTTTTAGTTTTGGATTGAGCAAGGACAGGAAAAAAACTAAATCTCAGATGTTTTTGATTACTTTATTTAGCCACATTGGGAAAGCATCCTGTTCAGATGCGACACCAAGACAGGAAGTGAGGGGAAATCAGCAACAGAAGCGCACACGGGAATTAAAAACAAAACAAAAAAAAAGACCAAAATGCATGTCGGTTTTTAACTGCATAGGAGGTTCTTCCCCCAACTCTTGTCCTGATAGCAACATTGTCATTCGGGCAGGGAGCAAAAGAAAAACTCTATTGGACTTCAGAATGCAAGAAAAACCTTAAAGTGCTACTAAACCCGGGACCCTGCGTTCACTATATATCTGGTCTCCCAGGACCCGGCGTTCACTATATCTGCTCTCCCAGGACCCGGCGTTCACTATATCTGCTCTCCCAGGACCCGGCGTTCACTATATCTGCTCTCCCAGGACCCGGCGTTCACTATATCTGCTCTCCCAGGACCCGGCGTTCACTATATCTGCTCTCCCAGGACCCGGCGTTCACTATATCTGCTCTCCCAGGACCCGGCGTTCACTATATCTGCTCTCCCAGGACCCGGCGTTCACTATATCTGCTCTCCCAGGACCCGGCGTTCACTATATCTGCTCTCCCAGGACCCGGCGTTCACTATATCTGCTCTCCCAGGACCCGGCGTTCACTATATCTGCTCTCCCAGGACCCGGCGTTCACTATATCTGCTCTCCCAGGACCCGGCGTTCACTATATCTGCTCTCCCAGGACCCGGCGTTCACTATATCTGCTCTCCCAGGACCCGGCGTTCACTATATCTGCTCTCCCAGGACCCGGCGTTCACTATATCTGCTCTCCCAGGACCCGGCGTTCACTATATCTGCTCTCCCAGGACCCGGCGTTCACTATATCTGCTCTCCCAGGACCCGGCGTTCACTATATCTGCTCTCCCAGGACCCGGCGTTCACTATATCTGCTCTCCCAGGACCCGGCGTTCACTATATCTGCTCTCCCAGGACCCGGCGTTCACTATATCTGCTCTCCCAGGACCCGGCGTTCACTATATCTGCTCTCCCAGGACCCGGCGTTCACTATATCTGCTCTCCCAGGACCCGGCGTTCACTATATCTGCTCTCCCAGGACCCGGCGTTCACTATATCTGCTCTCCCAGGACCCGGCGTTCACTATATCTGCTCTCCCAGGACCCGGCGTTCACTATATCTGCTCTCCCAGGACCCGGCGTTCACTATATCTGCTCTCCCAGGACCCGGCGTTCACTATATCTGCTCTCCCAGGACCCGGCGTTCACTATATCTGCTCTCCCAGGACCCGGCGTTCACTATATCTGCTCTCCCAGGACCCGGCGTTCACTATATCTGCTCTCCCAGGACCCGGCGTTCACTATATCTGCTCTCCCAGGACCCGGCGTTCACTATATCTGCTCTCCCAGGACCCGGCGTTCACTATATCTGCTCTCCCAGGACCCGGCGTTCACTATATCTGCTCTCCCAGGACCCGGCGTTCACTATATCTGGTCTCCCACAGTGCACAGAACATGGAAGTACAATTATTCTAGTAAATATAAACTGCTAAATACCTTTTTTTATCAGCAGTTTGAGCAGTCTTGTGACTTTTATCAGTGTCCAGCTGACTACGTTCAGGCTAGTAGTAGGAGTTTTCATTTCGCTCTAGGAGGATGCAGAACTCCTGACCTCTGGACAGCGCTGATTGGCCATGTGCTGATCACATGCACCCTCCCAAGAAAAAAAAAAAAACCTCTCCAGCAATACACACCAAACTGAGCATGTGCAGAGTGACTCCACACGATATGTCTTATCAAGAGATAAGAGGGGGACACTGGAAAAAAGTGAGGATCAGAGAAGTCAGGATCAAACAGCCTTTTACACAATGCAGAGGATTAACCCCTTAGGTTCCATAGTTTGTATATGCAGTAAAGCATGCTTGTTATACTGACTGATTTTACTGTTGTGGGTTTAGTAACACTTTAAAGAGGTTCTAACCCTTCAACACATTGTCCAAATTAAAAAAAAAAAAGGCTACTTTGACATTTCACGGGTGTGTTTTTTTATGCAGTTGTCGCTTTTCTGCAGTATGCATTTTTCATGCCGCACAATCATTTTATTTTTGAAGGTAAATAAGCAAATTGGATATTTTGAGCAATGAATTTGCTCAGTTTACAGCTTGCATAAATCTTAATATTCTCCCCCTGGAGTGCCAATAGCAAGGCTGTGTTTTTCACTGCTGTTCATTTACTGTTCACATTATTCCCTGCCCCTGAGGATCTTGCAATCTAATCTTCCTACCTCATTCATGAGCATCCTCTGGGAACACCAATCAACTTGTGTTTATTTATGTGCTTAGCCCATGCAAAGTAACTCAATTTTGCCTTTTAAAGCACCCTTCGCCTCCGCTCTCAATGCTCTACTGCAGGTAGCAAGGTCCTTAACTCACATTTGAGTTTCACATTTTTACAAATATAATGGCCAATTTAGACAGAATCCAACTAACCTACATGTTTTTGGAGTGTGGGAGGAAATCTGAGTACCCAGAGGAAACCCACACAGGCACATTTAGTGCCGTAGTTGGGATTCAAACCAATGACCCTAGTCCTGCTAGGCGGAAGTGCTAACCACTTAGCCACTGTGCTGCCCATAAAGACCATGTTTTTTGTACTGTAGGAGGAAACTGGAAAATCCAGAATGAACTCATGCAGGCACCGAGAATATACAAACCTCATGCAGATCACCCTGAAACCGTGATCCAAACCCTTGAATTAGGGCTAGAGAGCTAATTATATACATGTCATGCTGCTTGAGTACCCACTGAGATGGCCCAAGTAGATCAAAACAGCTCAATAAATAGCCAACTCTTTGGCCAGCTTGGAGGTGTCAATGGCTATTTACCAAACATATACAGTGCATTCTCATTGCAGCTCACAAAATGGCGGCCTTCTTTAACCACCCTTGCCCTGTTTATGGCTTTCTAATGTACCAATAACCGGCATTCCCATGAAGACTTCTTCAGCCTTCACAAGCGGCACCTCTGCTGCATGTAGATAATAGACTATCTATCATTTTGACATTTTGTTTTAAGATTTGTTTTAGTAATGAAGCATAAAAAAAAACACACACTTGATCTGCGAGTTTAGAAAGCAACAAAGAGGCTTCAGAAATTCAACATCACTGGCAGCTCGTTCCTAGGAGTGGAGCCATAATAGCATTACCTCACCTCGTTATTCACACACCGCGGGGCGTGAGGAGGCGGGCCGGTTGCCAGAAGTGTCGATGAGATTAAACAGGCCCTCTGAATGGTTTTATGATCAATTATCATGTGTGCTATCACTCCTGGGACCAGCATTCACCTCATTATACGCTGAAGCCAAGCCGTTGCTGAATCAGCATATACAGAGAGAAAAGCTTTAAACATGCTCTCCTAGGTGTTTCTACCGATATGTTCTGACACACAATATTAAACACGGTAAAACCATTCACTTCATGCGTCTGCAATGGGATGGGTGCAAAGAAGATGTTCAAAAATTGTAGGTGGGCACCAAGGCTGGGCTGGAAGGTAATGTGCTTTTTATTTTTTTAATCATTGTTTTATATACGATCAACACACGCTACTAAAGAAGCTTCCAAGGTCATAGAACTTTGGTGAAAATCTTCTATCCCATTTGACCACCTCAGATTCACATAAAGAGGTCTCAGTCATCTTTGTACTGAAATGTTCCACACAATCTTCTTTACAGCTGCTGCAAAGCCTAAGCGTTGTTACATGTACAGAGATGGTTATGGGTCTCCATGCACATGGGTACCTAGGGCTGTACAACATAAAATTTGGGTGTACTTCCCGGCCTGGGAGTCACATGTTGGGTAGGTGCAGAGTAGTGTGGTGGGCAGTAAGCAAACGTGAAATTCTGCGTCAAACTGGGCAAATCTGCCACAGAGGCCTTTAGGCAGTTTACACCGATGCGGCAATGGAGTCGTTCGAGTTGTTTTGAGTGGTACGCGAACTTCAAGAGTTGAAGAACATCACTGGAAGATGACGAGAGATCAGGAAGACCTTCAACAAGCTCAACTCCTGAAAATGCCCTCTTCCCGAAGATGAAGATCCAACTCAAAGGTGACAACATTGCAGAGATCCAGCGATTTGCCCAGTTTCACACAGAATTTCACGTTTGCTCTTTGTTCATGATGAAATAGCAGACATGGTAAGGCACGTTGTCAGAATAGCACCAGTTGCACAGCTCCCGATGTACCCAGAACGATGCCTTTTGGCACACTGACTTATGAAGGTCGGTGCTCCCTGTGACTGTGCATGCAGCCTTGTGCTGCCATCTGTTGGCGTGTTACAAAACGAAACTTTTTGATACTACCTCGTACACCGGAAACCCCTCCTTATGGCTAGTCTTGTCCCTCATAGACAAGTAACCTGTCCCTACACTAGCCACTTGCATAAAGCACACCAAAACCCAGGGGCAGAGACTTAAATAGACTCTGCTTGACCCAAGATGGCCATCAGGGTCACATGGGTCAAGGGTGTCCAACCTGATTACTGGTTCATGTGACTGAGGAAGTCACAGAGAAACCCAGTTTCTCTCTCAACTCCCTCTACCAGAGGCATTACAGCTATGGTCAAGTGCCACCTGCAGTGGAGAATATAGACTGCACTTGCATATACACAGGTGAGGCAAACAGCCACCCATAGCAGTCAATATCTGTATGTAGCGATACACCGGTATTTGTGTAAACAAAAGCTTGTAGACAGACTGTCTGTATCCAGGGGTGTACACCCATATCCATGCACAAGTTTATGCGAGATGACCCCCATGTGCATGAGCCTGAGTGGCCAGTCGCCAGGTCCAAACAGTGGCACATGAGGGGCAGTGAAGCCATTCACCCAGAAAACCTCTGACACCAAAGCTTACCCAAGGTGGACTCCTGCAGCAGGTCGGTAATGACGAAGCATGAATAGCCGAATATATATTGTTGGGGTAGGGGTGGAAGGCTATGGGCAGACATTATGGTTTTGCCTGAACAGGCAGATGACAGCTCCTCTTAAAATATGATGATCATTTTATTAGAGATTTCCAAATATTAAAGGAAATACAGTATGGAAACATATGAAGGCTTCCATTGCTGACCTCTCCTTCTGAAATTATTAGTTGACTAGCTGCCACACTGATCCAGTAGTTTTGATGCTTTCTGGATGACTCTCTCAGAACAATGCAGATCACAAGTTCTGATGTCATTTGCTGCCTGCTCAGAGAGAACCGAAGACAGAGACAGCAGGGCAACTAGGATTTAATAGAGAAACTCCAGGCAATAATTGAAACCAGCCATCAATCTTCTAATGTTATCTAGAAAACAAGCACGTTACACAAACAAAAAAAACCCCTCAAGAATCGTTAGCAGCAGAGAAGTGGAAACCATTCTGTATGATCCAACTTTCCCCAGCGAAAAGCCAACAACTTCCTAGAAGCCAACACCAAGGAGAAACATATGGGCATTTTTTCAAAAAAATGTACACACAGGAAAACATAATGGCTTACCCTCAGCCGACGTCCAAAAACAGTGACCTGTCCCCGTGCTTGTTCTTTCCTCTGGCGCCATTCTACCAAGTTAAGTCCATTGTCTATTGGCAAGGTGACATTACGTTTGCCAACAGTGGGGTTCACCGTGCCCGCCAGCAAGTGGGGCTCAGTCTGAAGGGCAACTTCCATTCCATTAGCCAAAATAAGCCGGAGAGAGATCCATCAGCACCAATGTAATAGCTATTGCGCACTTGATCTAAAGGTGATAAAACCCATACAGAATTATCCTATTACCTCCAGCCTATGCAAAGAAAGTATCACAGAAATCATTAATTAAAAAACAAAACAAAACATAAAACAAATGAAGCACAATCCACCTTGCAGAAGGGTGTAGAAGGCTCCAGAAGCAGACAGGTTGGTTGTTATAGTTACATCTTCTTTGTTAGATGTCTCCACTTGAACGTGGACTGAGCTGTCTGTGTCACTGCGGAAGGTGCTCACTTGCCCCGTGGGAAACGTAACATTGGTCAGCCGCCCAAAGCTATCATACCTGAAAAACAACAGACATGAGTGAAGACTCAAGGTTGGTGCATATGTTTCTAAAGATGAACATCATAGAAAGACTGGGATGCTTGTGTTGACCATTTTGTGTCCTAGACTTCAGTCATGGGACTATATCTATGCACTAGCTCTCATTATGAGATGTAAAGCAATTTGTAATGACAGATTCTGACCATTATTGATCCACTTTGTCAGAGAAACCCTCAAAATTTGGGAATTTCAAAACTTTAATAGAAATGTCCATAAAGTGGGCTTGGAAGGAGAATGTCCATAAAGTTGTCTTGGAAGAAGATTTTTGGGTACGTACAGAGTAATTTTGAAACAAGAAAAAATACTATGCTTAGAGAATGGAGAGTAAAGGGGTTCAATATTTAAACCCAATGTAAAAAGTCTTCATCTAAACCAGTGGTTCTCAACCTCCCTAATGCTGCGGCCCTTTAATACAGTTCCTCATGTTGTGGTGACCCCCAACCATAAAATTATTTTCGTTGCTACTTCATAACTGTAATTTTGCTACTATTATGAATCGTAATTAAAGCATTGTGATTATTCACAAAAAAATTATAATTATAATTCATGAAGTGTCGTTTTACCTCCAATACTGCTGCTTTCAACACAGTAGCTGCTTTTAACAGAGTAGCTGCTTTCAACACAGCAGCTGCTTTCTACACAGTAGCTGCTCTTTACACATGTGTGACTGGTCCACATAAGTACATTATGGCGCCAACCCTGTCACATACACCTGTATTTGTATGGGGTGTATGTGATGGGGTTAGCGCGATGATGTCACCACGCCGGGTACTCGTATCTGGGCGTATCTGCATGTGGATGGACCCGCCTGGAGACGGATAGAGGAGCGGTGTCTCGGTTTCTAAGACCATCCGAAATATGTGTTTTGCCGATGGTCTTAGGCGACCCCTGTGAAAGGGTCGTTCGACCCCCCAAAGGGGTCGCGACCCACAGGTTGAGAACCGCTGATCTAAACCATGTTGTATAACCTGTACTCAACACAACGGTAAGTTGAAGCAGCATAATTCCCAAGGTACAGCCCTTACTGAGCTTTGCTCCCTTGCTGGCCAAATCTCTGCAGAAGGGGAATAGGAAAGGATCTCAAGTGTTCAGGTTCCTATTATAACAAGGCCCTTATTCTGCTTACCATGTGTGCTGGGTATGAAGGACTCTGTAGGACAAGCGCTGGCCGTTTCACTCAAATCAGACTGAGATTTGCAAGATGGTTTTTGCCCACAAAATACACCTTTGTATGGCTGAAGGCTGGCCAAAGTTTGAACGGTAACTTTAAAGCAGCAATAGAACAGTAGTAGGAATACGAGATGGAAAAATACACGGTGAAATGTAGGATCTAACTGTTACTCGATTTAGCTGCTGCAGACTAATGCCAATATGATTACATTTGTCCCCATTTGTTGATTTGCATGGCCATGTAATGTTCACCATGGGTCTCCTGACACTGTGTGCCCATTAAACGTTGCCAGGCTTAATTTGCAATGCTATTAAGCAGATCATAAATTATGGAGAGACAGACTGCAAGGAATGTTATGGCTGGATGCTCCGGTATTGCAGCAGTGCACACAGGCTTCTAAGTGTCTATCTATAAACCATCGCTGAAAGATGGATTAACCTACAAAATTCTGAGTGCAGGCTTCAGCCTGGCTGAAAATGGTTATAAATTCAATAAGCTTCCTCTAAGAAAGGTCTGATAAAAGAACTAACAACCAAGTTGAGGCTATGCCCTGTCACCTTCTAAACAAGGGCTTATATCTGGTCATTCAACAGTATGCCAGAGCTTCAGGAGACAGTAGAGCCTCTCATTTCTTTCACTTGAATGGCTGAGGGTGCAGCTTAGTAATAAGAAAGCGCGGGGTATAATCTGTACCAGAGAAAAGTTGGTTACATAGTTAGTCTGGCTGAAAAAAGACAAAAGTCCATTCAGTTTAACCATAAAAAACCCCCCCAAAAAAACAAAGTTATAATCCTATACCCACAGTTGATCCAGAGGAAGGCAAAAAAACCCAGCAAAGCATGAACCAATTTGTTCCTGCAGGGAAAAAATTCCTTTCTGATCCCCCCCCCAGAGGAAATCGGATATTCCCTGGATCAACTTTCCCTATAAATGTTATATCCAGTTATATTCTGTGTCTCTAAGAAAGAATCCAGGACTTTTTTGAAGCAATCCACTGAGCTGGCCAGAACCAACTCTTGAGGGAGTCTATTCCACATTTTCACAGCTCTTACTGTGAAGAAACCTTTCCGTATTTGCAGATTAAATTTCTTTTCCTCCAGACGTAAAGAGTGCCCCCTTGTCCTCTGTGATGACCTCAGGGTGAATAGCTCTACACCGAGTTCACTATATGAACCACTGATGTATTTATACATGGAGATCATATCCCCCTTATGTATTATACATGGAGATCATATCCCCCCCTTATGTATTATACATGGTGATCATATCCCCCCCTTATGTATTATACATGGAGATCATATCCCCCTTATATATAATACATGGTGATCATATCCCCCCCTTATGTATTATACATGGTGATCATATCCCCCCCTTATGTATTATACATGGAGATCATATCCCCCCTTATGTATTATACATGGTGATCATATCCCCCCCTTATGTATTATACATGGTGATCATATCCCCCCTTATGTATTATACATGGAGATCATATCCCCCCCTTATGTATTATACATGGAGATCATATCCCCCTTGTGTATTATACATGGAGATCATATCCCCCCTGTGTATTATACATGGTGATCATATCCCCCTTATGTATTATACATGTCATATCCCCCTTATGTATACATGGTGATCATATCCCCCTTATGTATTATACATGGAGATCATATCCCCCTTATGTATTATACATGGAGATCATATCCCCCCTTATGTATTATACATGGTGATCATATCCCCCCCCTTATGTATTATACATGGTGATCATATCCCCCTTATGTATTATACATGGTGATCATTTATGTATTATACATGGAGATCATATCCCCCCTTATGTATTATACATGGAGATCATATCCCCCTTATGTATTTATACATGGAGATCATATCCCCCCCAGCCCCTTATGTATTTATACATGGAGATCATATCCCCCCCAGCCCCTTATGTATTATACATGGTGATCATACCCCCCTTATGTATTATACATGGAGATCATATCCCCCCTTATGTATTATACATGGTGATCATATCCCCCCTTATGTATTATACATGGTGATCATATCCCCCCTTATGTATTATACATGGTGATCATATCCCCCCTTATGTATTATACATGGAGATCATATATCCCCCTTATGTATTATACATGGAGATCATATCCCCCCTTATGTATTATACATGGTGATCATATCCCCCCTTATGTATTATACATGGAGATGATCATACCCCCCTTATGTATTATACATGGAGATCATATCCCCCCTTATGTATTATACATGGTGATCATATCCCCCCTTATGTATTCTACATGGTGATCATACCCCCCCCCCCCCCCCCCCCCACCCTTATGTATTATACATGGAGATCATATCCCCCCTTATGTATTATACATGGAGATCATATCCCCCCTTATGTATTATACATGGTGATCATATCCCCCCCTTATGTATTATACATGGAGATCATATCCCCCCTTATGTATTATACATGGAGATCATATCCCCCCTTATGTATTATACATGGTGATCATATCCCCCTTATGTATTATACATGGAGATCATATCCCCCTTATGTATTATACATGGTGATCATATCCCCCCTTATGTATTATACATGGAGATCATATCCCCCCCAGCCCCTTATGTATTATACATGGTGATCATATCCCCGCTCAGCGCTGTACATTACAAAGGGGGACAGAACATGTGACAGAACAATTCCAATACAATGCAATAACATGATGATCATATCGAGGGCCCTGCTCTTTCATTACATGGAGATCATATCCCCCCCAGCCCCTTATGTATTATACATGGAGATCATATCCCCCCTTATGTATTATACATGGTGATCATATCCCCCTTATGTATTATACATGGTGATCATATCCCCCCTTATGTATTATACATGGAGATCATATCCCCCCTTATGTATTATACATGGAGATCATATCCCCCCTTATGTATTTATACATGGAGATCATATCCCCCTCAGCCCCTTATGTATTATACATGGTGATCATATCCCCCCTTATGTATTTATACATGGAGATCATATCCCCCCCAGCCCTTATGTATTATACATGGAGATCATATCCCCCCCAGCCCCTTATGTATTATACATGGAGATCATATCCCCCCTTATGTATTATACATGGAGATCATATCCCCCCTTATGTATTTATACATGGAGATCATATCCCCCTCAGCCCCTTATGTATTATACATGGTGATCATATCCCCCCTTATGTATTTATACATGGAGATCATATCCCCCCCAGCCCCTTATGTATTATACATGGAGATCATATCCCCCCCAGCCCCTTATGTATTATACATGGTGATCATATCCCCCCTTATGTATTATACATGGAGATCATATCCCCCCTTATGTATTATACATGGTGATCATATCCCCCCTATGTATTATACATGGAGATCATACCCCCCTTATGTATTATACATGGAGATCATATCCCCCTTATGTATTATACATGGAGATCATATCCCCCTATGTATTATACATGGAGATCATATCCCCCCTTATGTATTATACATGGAGATCATATCCCCCCTTATGTATTATACATGGAGATCATATCCCCCCTTATGTATTATACATGGTGATCATATCCCCCCTTATGTATTATACATGGTGATCATATCCCCCCCCCTTATGTATTATACATGGAGATCATATCCCCCCCTTATGTATTATACATGGAGATCATATCCCCCTTATGTATTATACATGGAGATCATATCCCCCCTTATGTATTATACATGGAGATCATATCCCCCCTTATGTATTATACATGGAGATCATATCCCCCCCTTATGTATTATACATGGAGATCATATCCCCCTTATGTATTATACATGGAGATCATATCCCCCCTTATGTATTATACATGGAGATCATATCCCCCCTTATGTATTATACATGGAGATCATATCCCCCCTTATGTATTATACATGGAGATCATATCCCCCCTTATGTATTTATACATGGAGATCATATCCCCCCTATGTATTTATACATGGAGATCATATCCCCCTTATGTATTATACATGGAGATCATATCCCCCTTATGTATTATACATGGAGATCATATCCCCCCTTATGTATTATACATGGAGATCATATCCCCCCTTATGTATTATACATGGAGATCATATCCCCCTTATGTATTATACATGGGGATCATATCCCCCTTATGTATTATACATGGAGATCATATCCCCCCTTGGGTCCCTGGGGATTGATTTGAAGGCCAACAGATACTGCCTGTCTTTCAGCACCATTATTGACTCCATCAATTTTAGCCACATTTGGTTAACTGTAAAGTGGAACTAGACTCAAAAAGTGAAGACTGATCAAGATCAAGTGCACACTATATAGAGGGATATGCTTTGTTCATATTTCATGTCTGAGGTTTCAACCACTTTAACGCATACAGTGGTGTTCTCTCTCCACCCCTAGCCTTTTAACAGGACAGTGAAAGGGTTGCAGCAGACTGATGAGGTTATTCCCCTGCTCTCTCCTCCTATCAGCACATTTGCATGCAACACACCAGTTTCTCTTCCCAGCATTCACTCTCCTTGTCGCTCAGCAGGGGACAGCAAGAGGTTGATACTGGCTCAACTTCACTTTCACTAGTTGCACTAAAAATACATTGATTGATTCAATTAATGAATATATCTGTATTAAGGACCCTTTTACACTGAACGGTTTTTGATAAGATAAGCGGAAGAAAAAAAAACGTATCCTTTTAAATCCTATTGAACTCTTCAAACTGCTCAGTTGCCTTTTTTAAAGTCCTGCTGGCTGCATTTTTGGTGTACGTAAAAAAAAAAGCGCTAAAAATGTACCTCCTCATTGAAATGATCAGAAAATGCACAGTGTTTGTATTTTTGGTGCCTTTTTTTTTACGTTGCATGTCCATTTTTCACTGTAGCAGACAACCAGAAAACGCATTTTTACTGAGTTTTCGCAACAGAGCAGTGTGAAAGCAGTCTAATTTGTGTGAAGTTCAGATTTAATAGTGTAGCGGGTCCAGGGTGGGCAGTTGTCTCATTGCCGATGTTGGCACTGCAATATCTTACAGTCTTCTGAAGAGAGCACAGCCAACATCTATAAAATTACAGACAGGAGGTGGATGTGATATATTTACAAATGCCTTGTATATATGAGTATAAAATCTGCATGGCTATCTATGAAAAAGCATTATCAGCATCATAAAATCTGTTTTTCGTTTTCCTTTAACTGGCTTTTACAGCCGTGTCCACAATAGGATCCCTTCCTCTTCATTTGGCAAAATTTTATTTTTATGTATAAGAGAAAATAAAATCTCTCTGCTTTTATGTGAGCTGTAAAAAGCTGTATAAGTAATACCCCCCTTTACCCCGCCCCCCCACCAATCTAATTTCTTCCTTTTAAGGCCGTCCGTCAGTTGTCCTAACAGTAGAAATAAACTCAGATGGAAAAATCTGACCCTTTCGTGTTCATAGCCAATTTAGTACTGGCGGAATTACACGCACAATCGGCAGCGTCTTTCCTGAGCCGGTCAATAATTTACAATGACACACTTTTAGCTTTTACTTAAACCGAGGGGAAAATGTTTTCTCCCACCACTGAAGTCCAATAATCTTCCACAGTACGAAATTCATCCTGATGTACTGTGGGGTGAAGCAGACTTTGCATGTGTTTGGAAAGATCCCTACATTATTTATTGGAGATTGGAAACTATTAGTATCAGATGTTAACAAAGGGAAAATACTACTCTTTTCAAGCACTTTGATGGTTGTTGCCCGCTGGGGACATTGATCTGTATTTTTGTAGCTGGTGCTGTCATTGCCTATCATACTTTATAGAGGGAAACGGACATTTATGGTGCTCTGACCGCCTCTCTGAACTCTCGACATGTGTATGAACTGGACCGGACCGGACACTGTGTGTGCTATCTAAGCACCTTCCTTACACAACATTAGTAAATATGACAACCCCATGCAGGTAGAAAAAAAAAAAATGCATATATCATACCAGTGGTCTAGTGTAATAGGGAAAAAAGGAAAGAATAAGGGAAATAGTCAACAAAAAGTGGAAAAAGAAAAAAAAAAATGAAAGAAAGGAATAAAAAGTGAAGAAAAAGTGAAAGAAAGAGAATGAACAAGAAAACAAAAATGAAAGAAGAAAAAAAGAAAATGAGAAAAAGAGAAAAAATAAAGAGAACAGTAAAAAGAAAGAAAGCGTAAAAAAAAAAAAAAAAAAAAACACGAGAAGAGAGGGAAAAGAAAGAGAAAGTGAAAAACAAGGAAAGGAAAGATCTAGAAATGAAAGAGGGATAAAATAACCAGAACACACAGAAAAAAAAAAAACAGAAAAGAAAACAGAAAAGAAAAATAAGGAAGAGAAGCAGAGAAAAGAAAGAAATGTACAAAAAAAAAAACAGAAAAGACAGAGAAAGCAAAAGTAAAAAAACAGAAATGGCAGAGAGAGAGAGTAAAAAAAACAGAGAAAAGGCAGAGAAAGAGAAAGTGAAATAACAGAGAAAAGACAGAGAAAGATAAGACAGACAAAAAATAAAAAAAGACAGAGAAAGAGGAAGTGAGAAGCAGAAAAGGGAAACTGAAGTTAAAAAAAAATAAGAAAAAGAGCAATAAAAAGACAAAATAGAACACAAATAAGGAAAAGGAAAAGGAAAAGACAGAGAAAGTGGAAAAAAAATACAGAGAAAAGACAGGAAAAGAGAAAGTGAAAAAACACAGAAAAGACAGGAAGAGAAATTGAAAAGAGATGAAAAGACAGAGAAAAAGTAAAAAAGATAGAGAAAGTGAAAAGACAAAAAGGAAAGGAAAAGGGAAAGGAAAAAATAAAGATATGAAAAAGAATAAAATGAAAAGACAAACAGAACACAAAAAAAGAGAAAAGAAACAGGAAAAGAAAACAAATATAAGGAAGAGAAAACAAATAAGAGGAAGAAAGGAAAGAAAGAAAGAACGGAAAGAAAGAAAGAGAGAGGAGAGAGAGAAACGAGGGAAAAAGAGAACGAGAAAGAGAAAGAGAGAAAGAACGAGAGAAAAGAAAGAAAAAAGAAAGAAAGAACGAGAGAAAGAAAGAGAGAAAGAGAAAGAAAAAAGAGAGAGAGAGATAAAGAGAGAGAGAGAGAGAGAGACGAGAGAGAGAGAGAGAGAGAGAGAAAGAAAGAAAGAAAATAAAAAACTAGAGAAAGTAAAAGAGAACGAGAGAACGAAAGTAAAAGAGAACGAGAGAACGAAAGAAAGAGAAGAGAGAACGAAAGTAAGAGAGAACGAAAGAAAAGTAAGAGAGAACGAAAGAACGAGAGAACGAAAGTAAGTAAGAGAGAACGAAAGTAAGTAAGAGAGAACAAAAGTAAGAAAGAAGAGAGAACGAAAGTAAGTAAGAGAGAACGAGAGAACGAAAGAAAGTAAGAGAACGAGAGAACGAAAGAAAGAGAGAACGAAAAGAAAGAGAGAACGAGAGAACGAAAAAAAGTAAGAGAGAACGAAAGAAAGAAAGAGAACGAAAAGTAAGAGAGGACAAGAGAACAAAAGAAAGAAAGAGAGAACGAGAGAACAAAAGTAAGAGAGAACGAAAGAAAGTAAGAGAACGAAAGTAAGAGAGAACGAGAGAACGAAAGAAAGTAAGAGAGAACGAAAAAAAAAAAAGTAAGAGAGAACGAAAGTAAGAGAACAAGAGAACGAAAGAAAGAAAGAAAGAAAAAGAACGAAAAAGAAAGAAAAATCGAAAGTAAGAGAACGAGAGAACGAAAGTAAGAGAGAACGAACGAGAACGAAAGTAAGAGAGAACGAGAGAACGAAAGAAAGAACGAACGAAAGAAAGAAAAAAAAACGAAAGTAAGAGAACGAGAGAAAAAAAGAACGAAAGAAAGAAAGAGAGAAAGAAAGAAAGAACAAGAGAAAGAAAGAACGAACGTGAGAAAGAAAGAATGAACGAGAGAAAGAAAGAATGAACAAGAGAAAGAAAGAACGAACGAGAGCAAGAATGAAGGAGAGCAAGAAAAAAAAAAACGAGAGCAAGAAAAAAAACAAACGAGAGCAAGAAAAAAACAAACGAGAGCAAGAATGAATGAACGAGAGCAAGAATGAACGGACAGAAAGAATGAAAAAAAAACGAGAGAGGAAAAAGACAGAACGAAAGAAAGAAAAAGATAGAAAGTAAAAAGAAAAACTCTAAACCGATGAGCAGAAAATAAAGGATTTTGACTACTTACTCATAGAACGTTGTCCATCCATTCTCATTGCTCTTGGTAGCGAGGAGAGACCAGAGTTTCCATGGTAGGTCATTGAGGCCAACTCGTTACCCTGTTCTGAGATACTTTTGAGAGCGCTGTTGGTGCCCATTGTCAACCAGAAAACTTGACCATCGGGAACAACCAGCCAGAGGGGCATCCCAGTGGAATCCCGTCGTACGTTTAGGGTATTTCCATTGTTGTCTGTAATCAGAGTCAGGTCACCATCAGCAGTGTAGGTGAAGTTGTAGAGAAAGTCTCCAGTGGTAAGGCTTTGGGTGTAAAGATGCCGTCCTGTTGTGTCAAAAAGATACAGCTCCTGGTCAATAGGAGACGATACCTCGTACATGTTCTGGCTGTTGAGGAATGGCTTGTTGGTTCGAATAAACCGGATCCTGATATTACCAAGGTCAGCCACATACAAGTCACCATCAGCACATACAGCTAGAGATGATGGAGAGTTCAGCTTGGCATCCTTAGCGTAACCGTCATCTCCTGAAAAGCATTCACAGCTGGCATCGTTTTTGCAATCACAGCCGCTCGGTGCACCAGCCACTAATGAGATTTCACCACTGGTGCTGACCTGCCTAATTCTATTGATTTTCTTTTCATCAGTTTCCGAAATGTACAAGATGCCATTATGAGATACAGCTAGGGCAGTTGCTGCCTCCAAGGTGGCATGGACTGCTACTTTGCTAAGGAGGAAGTGGTCGATGCCAGGAACCTGGCAGTGCATAGGTCTTCCAGCTACAATACGGACCTGGTGATTCTCAGAGATCTGCAACACAACGTTGTTGTCGAGAACATAGAGGGAGTTATCCATTGGGTTTACAGCCAAGTCCGTAGGCCATTCAAGTCGAACCTGCAAATAAAATCCATGGTTGTAAAGAAACGTTTCAGGTAATAAACAATTATTCTAGAACAACCATTTTGTGCGTTGTTCCAATGACCATCAATGTCATGAAGAAAAAAGGAATGTTGCAGTAGCTTACAAATGGCCGCTGCCACTTTATGTGAAGTATCCAGTCCCTTTAAATACATCGGATTACAAATTTTAGTGTAGCATTCGTAAATTTGAAGTTTCATCTATAAATAGATGCACACCAATTTCTTTTCAAGCCAATAGTGATTACTCAGATGCAATACTTTCCTTTTAGATAATTGCCGTGTTTCTGCAACATTAATGTTTACATTGCACAACTCAAACATTTACAGACCGCATTAAATAAAATTAGCTCCACTCCAGTCTAATTTCATCTTGTTCATTTTTTTTAATCTACTTGTTTATTTTCTTTAATCAAACCAAAAACAAAAATTGCTGCCTAAATTAGAATGTCAGTCTCTGCCAAGCGAGTGATTATACACAACCTGGCATACTACAAGTGCCAGCACACCTTGTTAGGTAGGCATAAGCAATTTCCAGTTGTCATTTTGTGGAACTATAAGTCCCAGAATGCTTACACCTTGGCTTGTCCGTCATATGTAAGCAGCCTGGGGCTCTGCAGGGGTGGGGCTTACTAGGACTTGCAGTTGCTTAGCTGATCAAATGCACTGTGATTTGTACAGTGTCACGAACTAGACTGCCTTTGTGTAATGGTCATCCTTGACCTTTAGTTATGCTGCTGTTCACATCTCTTTAGTTCAAACCTGCCCTCTTTAGTGGACTTAAAGCTTACAGCTTGGCTTGCCCATCATATGTAAGCAGCCTGGGGCTCTGCAGGGGTGGGGTTTATTAGGACTTGCAGTTGCTTAGCAGATCAAATGCCCTGTGATTTGTACAGTGCCACTAGCTAGACTTCCTTTGTATAATGGTCATCCTTGACCTTTAGTTATGCTGCTGCTCAGCTCTCTGTAGTGCACACTTGCTCTCTGTAGTGGACTTAAAGCTTACAGCTTGGCTTGCCAATCATATGTAAGCAGCCTGGGGCTCTGCAGAGGTGGGGCTTACAAGGATTTGCAGTTGCTTAGCAAATCAAAAGCCCTGTGATTTGTACAGTGTCAGGAACTGGACTGCCTTTGTTTAAAGATCTTCCCTGACCTTTAGTTACGCTGCCGCTCAGATCCTTGTAGTGCACACCTGCCCTCATTAGTGGACTTAAAGCGAGGCCACAGGTCAAAGCTGTGTCTCTTTACCAATTTTGTCAGTTTGCTTACAGCCAGGAAACTATGTCTGTCTGACTGTTCATGTCTTAGATTTTCCTGTTTTTCGCTTGGACTGCATTTGCACTTACTGTAGCTTGTCAATTCCTATTTTGATCATGGCTCTGTTACCTCTGGTATTGGCAGTCTGTGCTCTGTCTTCCTGTATGAAACCTGGGCTGTGCCCATGAGTGGTCTGGCTATTATAGCCTAGTATCTCTGTTACTATCCTCTGCCACCTCTGGCCATCTGTCTGAGGACTGGTACTGCTCTAGCACCTATTGTCAGTTAACGGCCCTGACAACAGAGGGGGAGATTTACTAAAACTGGTGCACACTGAATCTGCAGTAACAAATCAGCTTCTAGCTTCGGCTTGTTCAGTTAAGCTTTGACAATAAAACCTAGAAGTTGATTGGTTACTGTGCAGAGCCGCACCAGATTCTGTGTGCACCGGTTTTAGTAAACCTCCCCCAGGGGTCTACCAAGCAATTACTCTCTGCTGCCAGAAAAAAAAAAAAAAAAAAACTTGGTCGCATTTACCGATTTTATAAGGTCCTTTTTTTCGAAGCAATATTTTACTAATTTTGTGTTTCCAGTTTAAAGGAGACAGGTTCTCTTTTGTAAGAAAAGGGGTATTTTTTTCCTATCATATGTCACCTCTAAATGTGACATTGCCTAACATAACTAGCTACCCCCTTCCCTCGGTGGCGGTCTACCTGCGGGGCCCAAAATATCGTCTGGATCATCTAGTTGTGTCTTTGCTCCTTCCTGGCTGCCAGCCCACCGCGCCCTCCAGTATCAGAACATTACATTGTGCGGTTTGCTCATCAATAATGCATAGCCCCATAGCCAGCAATAATCTTCAGAGCAACGCTTACACTGCAGCTTTGTGCAAGGCTCGCTCTGAACCGGCGGGGGGATGTTCAATTTTTAAACTCTGTTTCTTGTCATTGCTGCCAGTTAAATATTTCATAACCTTCACACCCCCCTCAGCACCTCTGAGACCTGACCGCACAACCTCCCTAGTCATAAGTGATAAGATGGAGGATCTCTGGTGTTTTTGGCTGTCATGGAATATTACAAGGTCACCTGTAATGCAAAATGTTTTCGATAAAAACAAAAAATAGAAAAAAAAAAGGCAGATAGAGGTTACCCTGGTTTAAAGCTGGATTCCGGGAAGACAGATTAAATACATATAAAGAGGCTGTTTTAACGGTCAAAGGATATGCATTTCTGTCCATCTAGTTCTGTGATTTACACAGCTCAGTCCCGTCAGGCAAATCAGGGAATCTGATTTTTTTTTGGCTGCAGTTAGGTAACAGTTAAGTCTTATCCCTCCTCCAGCCTGTGACTGGACAGTGAAAGGAGAAGCAGCAGACTAAAGAGCTCATCCCTCTTGTCACTCTGCTCTCTATTGCTATTCCTATGATCCTTGTTATCCCATTAGCACTGTAAGTACACCTGAACGGCTCCATTGTGCTGCTTCTCTCCAGTCTGCTGTACAGGGACGGAACAGGAACCTATACTGCTTGCATTAAAAAATATTTTTGTAATTATTTATTAAAATATAATTTAATTTTAAATATTATTTAATATTTAAATATTAATTATTAATGAAAAAATAATATTTAATTACTGATTACAATGCTAACCCCTTGATTAACTTTTTTTTTTTTTTACATGCCATCGCTGCTGTGATCATTGCGTTCTGTTGGTCAGGAAGGCCCCTCGCTAGCAGAAAACAAAAGCTCCGCGGGAGGCATTCCCCCACCAACACAGGCAGTGTTGATGGGGGAATAGAGTGATTTTCTCTCCTTCCATCATCTATGGTCTACTTAGGCTTAGTGCTAAACCCGCTACTTGACTCCCCCCCGGCTGGATCCCCCGCCCTCTCTTTAACTCTCCTCCTTTTCTATAGTTTTTACTCCTTTTCTCTCTGTTTGCTGGTTCAAACTCATTGCGTATGCTGCATATCTGACCTCTCTTCTACGATGCATCATCGGAATAATATATCTAATGTTAGCTCTTCAGCAACACTATGCAGTCAACGGGCCGTCACGTTTCACCATGCACTGTTGCTGATTGTTATATTTTTACTTGCAAATGGTCTTCTGCTAATGATACATATGGAGAATGCCCAAAAATAGTCCTAACATGGTTCAGTCCAACAGTTAAAAATGTGGTGATTTTATTAAAAGCATAATAAAAAAAAGTGTAATAACACTGGTCATGTCATTGGTTAATAACCGCCATTCGATTACACAGACTCATAGGTAACTCAAAGAAAACCAGCTTAATCTCACCTAAATTATGGTAGCGTCTCCTGATGGAATATGGAGGTAGATGGTACGGCTACACATATACCAGGCTGGATTACCATGGATATGTGACGTCCACGGTGCCCTGGTCATGGGGATGGTGGCTGCAGGGAACCAAGAGGATACTAGATAACACGTTTCAAAACAAATGCTTCTTTATCAAGGGATTACCATGGATGTCACATCCGACTCAGTGGTGACATCACTTCCGGCTTGAAGTATCGGTGTCTGTGGCCATCTTCGTGGTTCTCCTCCCACAAGCATCCAAGTAGAACAGCAGCACCGGTACAGGAGCTCTACGTCTGGAGGGTCCAGCTTCTAAACACCCGGTGCACATATCCACGGAAATCCAGCCTGGTATATGTGTGGCCATGCCATCTACCTCCACATTCCATCAGGAGACACTACCATCATTTTGGTGAGAGATTAGGTCGGTTTCCTTTATAAGCTACCTATGAGTCTATGTAATAGAATGGCAGCTAATAAGCGATGACATGACCAGTGTCCAGCCATAACCCTGGTAATCTACTTCCAACCCGAGGACGTCTTTTGACTATGGCCTGGTTGGGAAGTGGTGGAATACATTTTTAACTGTTGGACTGAACCATGTTAGGACTATCTTTGGGCATTATCCACACGTATCATTTCCCCATCTTCTAGTGCTCTGTTTTCCTGCTTTTATACTTTTGTACTTCCACTCCCA